CCCCAGGTGGGTATTGTAGTTTTACGAATGCTTGATAAAGATCTTGTAGGTGTTTGCCTCTGTCTGTCTTGGATGGAAGCTGGAGGCGTGTCAGTACGTATAGCGGTCAGTAGGTTTCTGGTATAGGGTGGTGTTTATGTGACCATCACTTATTTGCACTGTAGTGTCCAGGAAGTGGATCTCTTGTGTGGACTGGTCCAGGCTGAGGTTGATGGTGGGGTGGAAATTGTTGAAGTCCAGATGGAATTCTTCAAGGGCCTCCTTCCCGTGAGTCCATATGATGAAGATGTCATCAGTGTAGTGCAAGTAGAGGAGGGGCGCTAGGGAACGAGAGCTGAGGAAGCGTCGTTCTAAGTCAGCCAAAAAAATGTTGGCATACTGTGGGGCCATGTGGGTACCCATAGCAGTGCCGCTGACTTGAAGGTATACGTTGCCCCCAAATCTGAAGTGGTTGTGGGTGAGGACCCCCCGATACTTGATACAGATTAACACGGCTACCCCCTGATACTAGTCTAAGAGGGGAGGAGCCAGAGGACCGATTCCCCTCTGAAGAGGAAAATGCGATCCTGACAACTGGCTAATGACGCTAGACAAACATGTGGAAATAGAATCTTTCAGCATCAAAAAGAGGAAGCCAAGAGCTGTGGTAGACGGCAACTCTCCTCTAAACGATTCAACGTTGGCATTTACCTGTGCGCACAGCTGCTCCTGCCACAGATCCTGACCCCAGCCAGAGCAACTGACTGACTGCTTCACCACCCCAAATAAACATCGTTAGCATTACAGGCACACATGCTGTGCCCTCTAATTGTATGTAATTATATTACAACATGGGTGTCTGACGGGAGTGCAGGATAATGAAAGGCCTAGAATTAAAGATGTTGATAGAGATCTAGAGCTCCTGAAACGTTCAAGCTGGCTTGGACTGAAAATTGCTGTAGGCCCATAACGATAAACAGCAGTATATGGAGTTAATGAGGTGTCTGGCTCTGTTTAACTTGACAGCCTTGTTGGTTATCACAGAATCATAGGACTGGAAGGGACCTCAAGAGGAGGCCAACTATTTCTAAAATTGAGTGACTGAAGACTGAGCTGTTACAATCACCTGAGAAGTGGGAAAAGCAACACACACCTTCCTGCCTTTCTCACTTCTCCCAGTGTGGGGACATGTTCCCTCCGCCCTGTGGCAATAGATGGAGTGGGGCATCTGATCTACTTCTTCAGTGGAGCAGAACCACTGGCTGTAGTGAAGCTCAGGGAGAAGGCTGTAGACTTGCTCTGATCATGCAATACCATGTGCTGACAATAAAATCCAGTAATAGGGAGCTGCAGAGACAATGTGTAAACTTGTGCACAAAAGTGGTTAAAGGAGAACTGGTGCTAAAACCAATTTAAAAGCCTCTGGCAAAGGTCCTCACAAGAAGTATCAAAGAAACAAAGTCATTGTGAGGTGAGCGTAAGGTGCTGATGCAGACTAGAAACTGGCCAAGATACAGAAAGGCTGGGTCGCCTCCTTGGCTACTTCTCCCACAAACACGGTTGTACTTTACCCATCTGTAAGACAGCATGAAAGCGAAATTCCCTGACACTGGTCATAAAGCCGCCACCATATCCTCTTCCATCACACACACCTCTGCTCTGGTGCCAGTAAATCACCCCATCTGACCTTGGCTGGGCTGGTGGCCACTAGTGACTAGTTAGAGGAACAGATCTGTCTGCACGGTTACCTTGTTATCCCTCCACCCCACTTGTCTCTCACCTGTTGCATCTTATCACCACATGAGCTGCTGAAGTCTCCAGCCCAGGCACTGTCTGCTTCATGCCTGTAAAATGCTGAGCACGGTGGGGTCTGATCCGTGACTAGGGCCGTGTCGGCACTGCACTGCTAGATGCAGTGTTACAGTAAATGGCAGGCGTCTCAGTCCATCCCAGGCTGTTTAGTATTGAGCAGGATACAAGGGTGGTCCATGAGGTAGTGTAAACCGGCAGATGATGTTAGTTATGGAGGTTAGTTAGACCTTGAGGGACTCGGCAAGACACGTTCTTGGACAGCAAGGGTAGCTCACTACTGGAGCAACTTGCCAAGGGGAGTGGTAGATTCTCAGGCTCTTGACACTTCCAGTTACAGATTGGCTGTTGCTCTAAAAGATGCTCTAGTCTAGCTCAACCAGAAATCATGGGCTTGATGGAGGAATTACTGGGTGGAGTTTGATGGCCTCTTAGGAGACTAGAGTCAGTGGGTCTCAACTCCGTTTTAATGGGGTCACCAGGGCTGATGTTGAACTTACTGGGGCCCAGGGCTTTGGTTACAGGCCCCCATCTCAGGCTCAAGCCCTTCAGCTTTGCTGCGCCCCCCCCCCAAGGTGGCGAAGCTTGGGTGGGCTCAGGCTTCAGTTGCCCCTCCTGGAATCGTGTAGTAATTTGTGTTGTAAGAAGGGGATTGTGGTGCGATGACGTTTGAGAACCCCTGGACTAGATGATCCTGACAGTCCCTTCTGGTCTTAATCTGTGACCCAAAGCTAGGCAAGTGGGACACCCAGGGGCAGCTAGAATTCAGTGTTAACAAAGGGAAGGCAATGCATGCTGGGAAGAATACTCTGAACGAGTAGTGTGTGCTGCTGGGTTTGACCAGAACAATTTCCACTCTGGAGAAAGAGCGACATGCCCCAGTGGCTGTCCACTTGGCACAAGGCCAACACGCTAGTAGAGATTTTGACAGCCAGGATGGTGGCGTTTTTCCAAATCTGGTAGCTATCGGTTTACTCCTTGTATCTCACTAACCCAGCTTCCTTGGTCCACCTGCACAGAGCCGTCTAAGTCAGATGATAAGATGTCCTCCCTTCCCACCCCTGCTGCTTGTGCCCCAGGGCCTGGCTTGCCCACTTCCTGCTGTGCAGCCCCGGCACCTGAAATGTGAAGGCTGAAGGTGTTTCTTCATCAACTGAGGGCAGAGCAAAAACGCCTCTGCTGGTTCAGAGCAGAAGGGCCTGGGGTTCCAACCTGCACTTTCCTCGGGGCGGCACAAAGATCCTCCCTAAACTCCCTGTTGTCTTGGTGTATTTTCACAAAGCCTCAAGTGGTGTATTTTGAGCACCTCTTTTCAGGTGGCTTGAGGTAGCCCATAGACCTCTTCTCAAACAGGCTTCATGTGGCTGATTCAGTGTTTAAAACAGTGTTGCTAGTAGTTAGCCATGCTGTGGAAGAGGGGATGTTACCTGGCTCTGCAGTGAGCAAACCTTGTGTGGTTTCTGTTACCCTAGTCTAGCCATATCTGATTCATGCTGACTTGCTCTGGGAGCAGGTTCCAGATAATCTGCTTTATAGTCCTGCATGCTAAACTTGGCAAAGGATCTATGTGCAAAACAGAGTATGGGGCAGACTCGCTAATCTGGAGACAGTTGGTGCAAGACCAAGAAGCTAGAAAAATGCCTCTTCTTTAGAAACCAGAAGAAATGTAGGTAATAAGAACTGAGTCAAGGCAAAATGCCTCATGTTTTATTTCTCTGCAAGGCAAGCAAGAGAAGCTGACAGTCAAGGTTGTACATGGCCAGCTGATGGGTATTAAATATCTTTCGGGTTTGAGCTTCAGAGAGTCATGTTTTGTACCTCGGAGTGAATTGCACTATGCTCAGTGCTTAAAGAGAACTATGTGATAGGTCCCAATGTCACTGTAAATGGAGCTTTGAGTGGGTGAGTTTCTAGTGGGGTCCCCCAGGGATCAGTTCTTGGCCCTATGCTACTTGATTTTGTTTTCTTCCAAGTCATTGATTAAAAAAGTGATCACTGATAAAGATTGCCGATGACACACATTGTGGGAGTGGTAAATATGGAGGAGGCCAGGTCACTGATCCAACCTGATATGGATTGCTTAGTAAACTGGGCACAAGCCAACAATATGCATTTGGATATGGCTAAATGTAACCACCTAGGGACAGATTGCAAGCCATACTTACCGAGTGGGGCATTCTATCCTGGGAAGCAGTGACTCTGAAAAAGATTTGGGGTGCATGGTAGGTAATCAGCTTAACATGAGTTCCCATTGTGATGCTGTGGCCAGAAGGACTAACGCAATCTTGGGATGGACAAATGGGGATCTCAAGTAGGAGTAGAGGTTATTTTACCTGTGTCTTTGGCACTGTTGTGACCACTCCTGGAGTACTGGGTCCAGTTCTGGTGTCAACAATTTGAGAAGGATGTTGATAAACTGGAGAGGGCTCAGAGAAGAGCCATGAGAATGACGAGAAGCTTGTAAAAATGTTCTATAGTGCTAGATTGAACTCCTTTGAGTCTATTTAGCTTAACAAAGAGCAGGTTAAGGGTGATGTGATCAGTCTGTAAATACCTACATGGGGAACAAGTATTTGATAACGGGCTCTCTTCTCTAGCAGAGAAAGGTCTAACATGATCCAATGGCTGGTTAGAAGTTGAAGCTAGACCAATTCAGTCTGGATTTTTAACAATGAGAGTAAGTAACCCTTAGAACATCTTCTATGATCTTTTGTTCTGCCCACCCCGACCTTTCAAAGCCTTCACCAATGAATAATCTTTGGATTAATTCAGTCTGGTGAGAAGTATGCTGCTCCTCCTCAAACTAGAGTTAACCTCTTTGGTGCTGAATGTCTGCATGCTTCTGGTGCTGTGCGCCGGTGCTGGGGGAATGCTGGTAACAAGGTAGTAAAAGTGTACCTTCTGGGCTGAAGTAGGGATCTCTAGCTGGTGCCCTCTCCCTGAGCCCAATCTTCAGACCGGCCTTGGGATAGCTGATTTTAACAGGGGCCTGTGGAGTCCCAATGGGACCTTCTGCTATAAAGAACTCTCTATAAAGACCCCTCTAGGTGGTGGATTTCCGCTCTCCAAAGCAAAGTGCCGCCACCTACCTTTCAGCTCCTGAACTGGCTAGTTGGGCATGTTAGTGCTGGTCTGTCCCTGCAGCTATGGATGGCCTTCCGTTCTTGCCAGCTGCCGGAGCATTGACTTGGACTCCTTTCACTTCCAGACAGCTGCTAATCAAGGGGGATGTCAGCGGGTTAAGAAGACTTGGGCATCACAGACGTTAGTGACAGGAAAGTCTTCCTTGATCCCCTCCGCTCATCCCTTGAGAGCCAGTGTAGGCCTCTTTCCGGAGAGCTTCTGGTGCAGCCAGGTTCTAAGCTCCTCCAGTGCTACCGAGGGCTCAACCCTTACAGCCTTGGGAGCTAAAGCCAAGGAGCCGGATCGCGAAGGCCGTGTTGGGAAGGGGATTCGCTGAAGGATTTTGCAGCTGGCACTCACAAATGGTGTTTGAAAAGTGGAGAGCGTTCAGAGAAGGGCTGTGGAACCAATTCCAGGTCTGCAAAACCTGTTTTACAGAGAGACTTGGTGCTTGATCCATTAAGGCTCTGTCTACACGGAGGGCTGCATGTGGAAGACCGGCACTGCGTGTGTTGCCACATGCCTCGGGGAAAGGCAGAGGCTGCCTAAAAATAGCAGTGTCTATGTGAGACCCTGCTCGGGTGTGTCGAGAGCCCGTCCCGTAGGACGTATACGCTGGGGGTTCGAGTGTCGGGCACTCTGCTCATCTAAGCTGAGCTGTTCGTACCTGCGCGGTGTCTGGGCTCTGCACTCGGCTGTAAGCATACACAGAGCCGCCGTCTCAAAAGGCGAAGTTAAACGAAGAGGCGACTGACTGAGGAGCCAGCTGTGTTGAAAGCTGCCTTAGGAGAAAATGGGAGCGGAGAGCTCTATAACGGGAGAGAATGTAGGTCACTGAACCACTGGGAGAAGGGGAGACTCAGCCTTGGATAAAGGGGGCTTAACTGGGAACTGTCAGAGCGTATACGGAGATGCTGGGGGTAAATAATTCTCCCAGACTCTGCTGGAGGGAGGGAGGGGTCAGGTGTGGGGTTTTAGAAGGGGTGGAGGTGAGCGATTCACCCAAGGCTAATTGAAGGTTGAGAGGCAGGTGCTGTGGCAGGAATGCTCCATCGGCACCGTGGTCTCTTATGGCCCAGAGGAAAGGCAGGGTGGGAGTCCTGGCTTGTCATTCGCTCGGGGGAGAGCGAACATGCCTGAGGTAGGGGCAGCAGTGGCTCTTCCCTCTCTTCTAGGGGCAGAGATTCCTGTACTGGTGCTGGAAAGCGCGTTTCACGCTTCGTGTGTCTTTCTCAGAACTTGCCGTGACGCTGATGGATGCCACCACTGATAAGGATCCATTAGTCCAAGAACAGATCTACAATGCTCTGTGCTACTTGGGAGAGAGCGAGCCTGAGGAGATCCTAAACTCTTGTGATGAATATCTGCGGCAGCATGACAAGGTATGGCTTTGCTCTCTGTCTTCAGGGCCGGGATGCAGAGCGAATCCCGTCCGGCTGCAGTACTGATCAGGAGATGGCTGGGAGGATGCCTGGGGAGCACGTGTGCAGGAGCCGTGCATAAAGGGCTATGGTTGACTATCACTGGGGCTCTAAAAAGTCTGTCAAAGCTGCTCCCAAGGTTCTATTAAAGAAACAAACTAGTCTGAGAGGTAAGGACTGTCGAGTATCGGAAACAGGCAGAAAGGAGTCGGACTAGTCAGCTTTTCAGTATGGCCAAAAGCTAACTGGGGGGGTACCCCAAGGCTCTCTGCTGAGGCTGACATGTCACATCAGTGGGAGCTGTAGCTAAATTTCTGCTTTGCAAATCCCACTGCTAGCTGTCCCGCAGGTGCATTTAGTCATCAGGAGGGCCTCTGACCAACAGCACCAAGCAGACTAGGCAGAAAGATTCAGGGCCTTGGAATGTGGGGTGCGCTGCAGACCCCTCCTAGAGGCTGAAACGGTTCAAAGGGGGGGTGAGCGCTTTGTTCGGGTGGAGATCTAGCTGATGCTCTGACTTGCGCTTAGTGTTGGAATCGCGTGTGGCTCTGTTTTCCTCAGCTGGCTTACCCCCACCGGATAATAATTCTGAAGGCGATGGAAGCGGTGCTGAAGAATAACATTGATTATCTGGACAAAAGCACGGCCAAGATCGTTATCTTTCTGGCATCCAATGAAATGACCAAGTCAAAGGTATGAGCTGGAAGCTATAGCTAGTTCTGTTACAGTAACTCCTCACTTAACATGGTCCCGGTTAACTTGTTACGTTGCTGATCAATTAGGGAACAAGCTCGTTTAAAGTTTCGCAATGCTCCCTTATAATGTCGTTTGGCAGCCACCTGCTTTGTCCACTGCTTGCAGAAAGAGCAGCCCATTGGAGCTAGCTGGTGGGGGCTTGGAACCAGGGTGGGCTGGCAGCCCCCTATCAGCTCCCCAAAAACAATGAGGAGCTGGTGGCACCTTAAACACTAACAGATTTATTTGGGCATAAGCTTTTGTGGGTAAAAAACCCACTTCTTCAGATGCATGGAGTGAAAATTGCAGATACAGGCATAAACATACTGGCACATGAAGAGTAAGGTAACTCCCTTCAAGTGGAGAACCAGCGTTGACAAGGCCATCCCCTCTCTTTATTGGTGCTGCCTTGTAGAGTGTGAGGCTACGTTAACATGTTAACCCTTGAGGGCTCAGCCGAGTGCTAGTTCATCATTTTAGCAGCAAGGCATTCCCTGGAAATATCCCACCCTCTGACTCCTCCACCTCAACCCAACTTCACAATCATCATGGCTGTGTACAGTATTCAATTGTTTAAAACTTGTACTTACTGTGTGTGTGTGTGTGTGTGTGTATATATATATAATAAAATATTATTTGTCTCTGGCAAAAAAAATTTCCCTGTACCCTAACCCCCCCCCCATTTACATTAATTCTTATGGGGAAATTGGATTTGCTTAACATCGTTTCACTTAAAGTTGCAGTTTTCAGGAACAGAACTACAACGTTAAGCGAGCAGTTACTGTTCTTTTTATCTAACTGGCTCGTTCCGTGATGCTTCCCTCCATTTCTCCTCCTGTGTTGTCTCCTTACAATATGCATCTCTGATTTGGGGTTAGGGAGAGAGGATCTCCATTAATTTTTTTTCTCTATCTCCTAGAACTGGAAGGGACTTTGAAAGGTCATCGAGTCCAGCCCCCTGCCTTCACTAGCAGGACCAAGTACTGATTTTGCCCTAGATCCCTAAGTGGCCCCCTCAGGCATTGAACTCGCAACCCTGGGTTTAGCAGGCCAATGCTCAAACCACTGAGCTATCCCTGCAGGGGTTCTGACCTGTTCCTCGTTCTTTCCCCACTCTCTTCCCTGCATCGCTTCAGTCGCTGCCGCTGCCCTTCTGGATGTGATGGGCCAGTCTCTCTCCTAGACTTAGTGGTCCCTCTGACCTTAAAGTCTATGATCATCTAGTCTGACCTCCTGCATAACGCAGGCCACAGAATCTCACCCACCCACTCCTGTAACGAACCCCTGACCTATGTCTGAGCCATTGAAGTCCTCAAATCGTGGTTTAAAGACCTCAAGGTGCAGAGAATCCTCCAGCAAGTGACCCGTGCCCCATGCTGCAGAGGAAGGCGAAAACCCCCCAGGGCCTCTGCTAATCTGCCCTGGAGGAAAATTCCTTCCCGACCCCAAATATGGTGATCAGCTAAACCCTGAGCGTGTGGGCAAGACTCACCAACCAGACACCCAGGAAAGAATTTTCTGTAGTAACTTAGATCCCACCCCATCTAACATCCCATCACAGGCCATTGGGCATATTTACCTGCTAATAATCAAAGATCAGTTAATTGCCAAAATTAGGCTATCCCATCGTACCATCCCCTCCATAAATTTATCAAGCTTAAGCCAGATATGTGTTTTGCCCCCACTGCTCCCCTTGGAAGGCTGTTGCCAGAACTTCACTCCTCTAATGGTTAGAAACCTTCATCTAATTTCAAGTCTAAACTTCCTAATATCCAGTTTATATCCATTTATTCTTGTGTCCACATTGGTACTAAGCTTAAATAATTCCTCTCACTCCCTGGTATTTATCCCTCTGATATATTTATAAAGAGCAATCATATCTCCCCTCAGCCTTCTTTTGGTTAGGCTAAACAAGCCAAGCTCTTTGAGTCTTCTTTCATAAGACAGGTTTTCCATTCCTCGGATCATCCTAGTAGCCCTTCTCCGAACCTGTTCCAGTTTGAATTCATTCATCTTAAACATGGGAGACCAGAACTGCACACAATATTCCAGATGAGGTCTCACCAGGGCCTTGTATAATGGTACTAACACCTCCTGATCTCTACTGGATATACCTCGCCTGATGCATCCCAAGACCACATTAGTTTTTTCCACAGCCATATCACATTGGCTGCTCAGTCATCCTATGATCAACCAATACTCCAAGGTCCTCCTCCTCCTCTGTTACTTCCAACTGATGCGTCCCCAATCTATAACCAAAATTCTTGTTATTAATCCCTAAGTGCATGACCTTGCACTCTTCACTACTAAATTTCATACTATTACTATTACTCCAGTTTACAAGGTCATCCAGATCTTCCTGTAGGATATCCCGGTCCTTCTCTGTATTAACAATACCTCCCAGCTTCGTGTCATCTGCCAAATTTATTAGCACATTCCCACTTTTTGTGCCAAGGTCAGTAATAAAGATTAAATAAGATTGGTCCCAAAACTGATCCCTGACTGTCTTCCAGTGCCCTCCTCCCCCTAAATCTGCTGTTTTTCCGTATGTGGTCTGTCCTGTGAACTTGTAGAGTTGACCAGGCAGCGTGGGAAAGTGCATATGCTCTCCCTGGATAATAGGAACTGTCGTGCGCAGAGCATCTTGCAGGGCTGGTCTGTAACTGTTTGTTTAATGTGGTCTTGTTCTGTTTGACCTAGGAAATCATTTATGACTGGCAGCAGGCAGCAAGCAATGTCCTGGTTGCTGCAGGGGGGCGTTTTATCAACAAAGTGATGGAGGAGGTGCTGACCAAATTTCAGCCGGGGATCCTGCCTCATTATTTCATCATGCAGACTTTCGCAAACCTCTCTGTGTCAAACGGTAAGTTATCTGCACCTAATCTTTGTTAGGAAGAGGACGACTGGAGACGGGTGATTCTATAGGCTGGGGGTAAAGGTGGAGAAGAGTTGTTCTGAGAGCATGTCAGCTGGAATAGTCCCTGGATAAACTCTGCCATCTCCATGATGTGGTCAACTTCTGCAAAGAAGTTCAATGTAGTTGACGCTTCCTATTTTTAAAAAATAAACTACCACACTGGATTTCACTCAAAACTGGGTTTTGTACAGCCGGAGGGTTTGGAAAGCCTGTGCTAGGAAGAGGCACTGCAGGTTCAACCCTCTAATCCAAAGGGGGAGGGGGAATATGTACTTGTTTGCTATACAGTAGCTTACCGTGCCTCTCCTGCCTCCAGATGGGCTGAGGAGACCATGCCTGGAGCCTGTGGAGGAAGAGGTGGTGCTTTCTGGAAATTGGCCTGCCTGGCTCTGTTTGCTTTAGTCCGTGGTGGCTGAAAGCCAGGCCCTTGGTAAATGAAAGGACAGACAGCCCCATTTCGAGAGGTCGAGGCTGCTGCCTGAGGATTCCAATTGAACGGAGCTGGGGGCAGATGTTGCACCAGCTCTTATGGGTCTGCCTTGCAGCAGTTCGAGGGAAGCTTCGTGGGGTGTGGGCCAGGGTGTCCTTGACAGTCAGGGATTCTCCAGTTCTTGCTGGAGCAGGGAAGCTAAGTCACTGGCTCAGTGTGGCTGGAGCGAGAGCCTGGGAGTCCGATCTGGGTTCTACTTCGGATTCTGCTGCTGCCCTGCTGTGACCCTGGGCAGGACACAACAGCTTTGCCTTCAGTTTCCCCCTCGGTATACTGGAGGTTTACTTGACCAAGAGAAGTACTGCCACACCTGGCGCCAGTGAGACTATGCGAGTACTTGGAAGTGTCCTGTACGCTGTCTCTAATGCTGGTGATCAGGCACAGCCGCTCCTCTTCTGAACCAGAAGAATTGGCTGACCCTTTTCTGCCTCTGGGAGTCTCTCCAACCCCCTTTTTGGGCCTCTGTCCAGGGCTCTGAGCACTGAGCTTTCATTGAGTAGCAGGTAGCCTCCCTTCCACACTCAGCATCCAGATCCTGCACATGCAGGTTAACATGTTGAATTCACAAGTGAAACTAAATCATGGTGTGCGCTCTTGCCACCCGTCCCTGCTTGTGGGGAAAGTAGTGGAGCAGTGTCCTTGGTATTGTGCTGTCTCCAGCCTTTCCTTACAGGCTACCTGGTGATCAGCTAGAAACCGTAGCTCTGGGCAGGGCATCACTGGCGGGGAGGTCAGACAGACTCAGAAATGTGGGGCTGGAAGGGATCTTGAGAGGTTGTCTAGTCCAGTCCCCTGTGCTGAGGCAGGACCAAGTAAACCGAGACCATCCGGACAGGTGTCTGTCCAGCCTGTTCTTAACCTCGGGGGGTGGGTGTCCCACAACCTTCCTTAGACTAGTCTAGAGCTTAACTCCCCTTTAGAGTTAGGTATTAAAAACTTTCTAACCTTAATCGCACTTGCTGTAGATTAAGCCCAATACTACTTCCCACCATCAGTGGACATGGAGAACAATTGTTCTCCATCCTCTTTTTAGAACCACCCTTAGCACATAAGACTGTTCGGTGTCCCCCAAGCCATCTTTTCTCAACATTAAACATACCAAGTTTTTAAACCTTTCCTCGTAGGTCAGGGTTTCTAAACCTTTTTATCGCTTGTGTTGAACTCCTCTGGACTCTCCAGTTTGTTCACATCTTTCCTAAAGCGTGGGGCCCAGAACTGGGTGCAATCCTCCAGCTGAGACCTCCCCAGGACCGAGTAGAGTGGGGCAGTGACCTCTCCTCGTACATCCCAGAATATTAATCCTTTCTTGCCATTGCATCACACTGACTCCTAGTCAATTTGTGATCCACTATAACCCCCATGTTTCCCTTTTCAGCAGTGTTACCGCCTAGCCAGTTATTCCCCATTTAATAGCTGTGCGTTTGATTTCCCCCCCATTCCTAAATGTAGTACTTTGCACTTGTCTTTAGTGAATTTAATCTTGATTTCAGATCAGTTCTCTAATTTGCCAAGATCCTCTAATTCTAATCCTATTCTCCACAGTGCTTGCAACCCTCCCAGCTTGTATAATTCAAAAACTTTATAAGCATACTTTCCACTCCAATATCCAAGTCATTAACAGAAATATTGAGTAGTACTGGTCCCACAGGGTCTGTTCAGGGCCCATTAGATATGTCCTCCTAGTCTGACAGTGAGCCATTGATAACTACTCTTTTGAGCCTTCAACCAATTGTTCACCCATCTTGACTAACAGCCATTGATGGACCTATCCTCCATGAACTTATCTAGTTCTTTTTTGAACCCTGTTGTAATCTTAGCCTTCACAATATCCTCTGGCAAGGAATTCCACTGGTTGACTGCGTTATGTGGGAAAAATACTTCCTTTTGTTGGTTTAAAACCTCCTTGAAGTGTTTTTTTTTTTTCCCCCACACAATGCACAGTCAACCTGTGAAACTCCTTGTCAGAGGATGTTGTGAAGGCCAAGACTAGAACAGGGTTCAAAAAAGAGTAGATAAGTTCATGGAGGATAGGTCCATCAATGGCTATTAGCCAGGATGGGCAGGGATGGTGTCCCTAGCCTCTGTTTACCAGAAGCTGGGAATAGGCAACAGGGGATGGATCACTTGATTCCCTGTTCTGTTCATTCCCTCTGGGGCACCTGGCATTGGCCACTGTCAGAAGACTGGATACTGGGCTAGATGGACCTTTGGTCTGACCCAGTATGACCGTTCTGTTCTTATCTTCTGGTACAGTGGATCTGGGGGTATGCAGAGGTCTTCCAGGGGGTACATCAACTCATCTAGATATCTGCCTAGTTTTAGAACAGGCTCCATAAAAAGCACTAGCGACATCAGGACAAACTCAAATGTCATCCAATGACGTGTTTATACTGCTCTGTAGACTATACACTGACCTGTAAGTGCTATATTTCTAGTCCAGCTGATTTAGTTTATAATAATGGTAAGGAGGAGACAGCCCACCTTTGTTCAGCCCTAGTGTGCTGGGACCCTCTTGTATGCTTGGTCTTGCGTACCCCAAGTTTCACCTCACTTGAGAATCAATCAGCCTCCTGAAAGGGGCACAATAGTCTGGGAAAGCGGAGAGCCATCACTCTGGTAATCTAACCTCAACCGCAGTTCCCTGATTTCTTATGGGCATGTCCCATAGGCCAGTGTCAAAAGCCTGCTGTTGGGCTACACAGATTCCAGAGATCTGCTGTTATCCACAGGGATCTGCTGGCTAACGAAATGTCGCAGTAAGTGGCTCTTGGCTGGTCAGATGCCTGCGTCTTGGACAGTCCAAGCTGATACAACTCCAGGCACTTGAGGGGATGGTAGCTGCTGAAACTCCATTTATAACTCTGGGGTTGTAGGCTCTGTACCTGAGCTGTTGAAATTGGCAGCTTCCTTTTTATCTCCAAATTGGCCTTTTTCTGTTTCAGAACTAGCACGCAAACCACATTAGATTGTCAGGGCCGCAGAGTCAGGGTCTCAAATGTTAGATGCCAAAGCAAGTTGCTTGCTCAACCTTCATTTGATCAGCTCCACAAACGCATTCTCAGACCGTCTCGAACTATGTGGTTGCATACTGTTCTTCCACAGGATCCTGGCTTCAATTCACCTCGCTCCACTCTAACTTTCTCCTTTCTCCCCTTACAGTGTTTGGGATGGTGCCTTTCTTAAATTCCATCCTTGGGACCATGCTGCCAATGCTGGGAATGGCCAAACAGGACCACATGAAGTCTGTGTTTTGCTATGGTAAGATGGCTTGCTCCTTTTTACTGAGGCTGTGCTGGCTTCTAAAGGGTTGTCTTTGGGAGCTGTATCTCCCTTAGCTTTCACGGTAAAGGAACTCCCCTCATTCTGTGGAGGAAAGACTCAGCCCAGAGGCCGGGGGGGTTGTTTCAGAGCAGACCTGCAGTATTGGCTTTGGGAGATGGCTGCCTTGGGGGTAGGATACCGAGCCTTTCATTTCTAGGGCACTGGCTTGACTCTAACCCAGGTCAGTTCCTCCCTCTTGCCTGTTCAATGCCCTATAAAATGGGTGAGGAGGGAGCAGTGGGATCTTTGGTTCGGGATGTGGTCTCTGTGTTGCAGAAAATGTAACAGTTGGTGGACCGAGGGCAGTGGACAAGGAGTCTGAACTCTCTCCTAGCTGGGGGCAGTGCGGAAGCCCGTTGGGCAAGGATGTGAGTGGTGGCGGGGTGATGAATTTGAGGTGGGAGGCAAGTCACAGAGGACTAAAATGGCTTTGTAGGGGGTGAGGAATGTCCCCTTTTGCCAACTGAGGTGGGAAAACTTGAATGAAAGCTTGACGGATCGATCCTAGTCTCAGAACTGTGGCAGCACCACTGCTGTATCTTCTCCCCAAATGGACTTCCAGCAGGCCTAGGAACCCTCCTGTTTCTCCCCATCCCTCAAGGAGCATGAACTAAACTCAGGCCTTTACCTGGTCACAGTTCTGAACAAAGTAATCGCTGTGTTGGGATTTTCTAGCACTTCCTTTCTGCCGATTATCTCTGCACCTAAAATGGGCAAAGTACTTTACTTTAGAAAACCTGGGTCCTTCCCCAAAGAGATTACTAACTAGAAGCTTCCTGGAGCGGGGGCTCGTACGGTACAGTGAACTCAAAACTGCTGTCAGAGGCAGGAGACCGTGTCCTTGGCTTTCAGTGACATTTTTGCCTCTAGAGTGAACTTTACTGAAGCTGCAGAGAATTGAACATCTCAGGGAGTTTGCCCACAGCCTCCGCTCAGTGCCACTTGTTAAACTTTGAAGTGGCTGGGCCGGAGTGGAAAATGTGAGCCTAGAGCTGGGGTGGGGGGTCAGAAAATCTGGGTCTGGCCACCAGGTGAGCTGAGCTTTTCGTGCTTGTGAGCTGTAGCTGACGCCTATGCTGGGTCTCCCTTTTGACGCCAGCTGGCGCTGCCCACGCAGCCGGGAGCAGGCTTTGGGCCTGCGTTCTGTTGGTCGTCTGGCACATTGGGTCAAATTTGATGTGGTTCTTGGTGTGTCTGGCTGGTGAGTTAGTCTCTTTGTAACCACCTGCCCCCGTTGGGCTTTACTGGGCTATTGTGTTACTGTCTTACAGCCCAAGACAGAGTCCCGTAGTCGTCCCAGGAACCTGGCGGTGACATTGTCATCTCAAATATCCCAGTAGAAGATGCACTAAACTTGTGTCTTCCTTTATCAGCCAGCTGAGACGAGAAGGGCAGGTCTGTGCGAGCACCGTTCTCCTCTCAAAGGCTTTGCCAGATGCAGCGGCTTTGCTCTCAACCCTGCTGGGCGAGCAGCCTCTTTGGCCAGCCCAGCCCCACCTGCTGCTGTCTGAACGCCGGGGCCGTGCTGGGGCAGCTCTGCATTGGGAACAAATGGATTCAGGCAGAACCTTTTGAATGGCCCTCAAGCTGCAGGGGAGAGATTTCTGTGCCCTCGCTCTGCAGCACATCTAGTCTGGGAAACTAGCTCTTGTTGCTGGAATAACACAGCGAGATCGAGAGACTCTGGGTTTGATCAAATGCAGTAATCAGAATCTCTCTCTGGTGCTAACACAAGCCAGTGGACCCCACTGACAGTGAATGCTGATGCACTGAATGGTTTGAAGCATAATGGAAATTGCCAAACAACTTTCATGCGTCATTGCAGATTTCCCAAGGAGTTAAAGTAAAACTTCTGTGAGGAGGAAAAATATTTGTAGTTGTATGTGAAGCTTGTTTAAATATCCCTCGTGCCTCACTCAGCCAGCAATTTGGCGCTTGAGTCCGTGCTGTCGATGGCGTTGCAGTTGCTGGCTAGTCACCACTGAGTCCGCCAGGAAGAAGTTGGTTCTCATGCAGGCAGCTTGTCTTTCCAGTAGAATGACGCTCTCGTCTAGTGCTGCCATGCAGCACTGAGTGCTAAATATCTTCAGTGTCTTACAAACCATGAACGCTCGTTCCCCCTCTCTGCAGAAGGTCATTCAGTCTCCCCGTTTCCTCAGGGCAGCTGCAGCACACGGGCAGTGACTGGGCAAAGGGCAGTGGGTTGGCATCAAGGCACGGAGCACCCCTTGGGCATTCTTGATTCCCTGTCCTGTGCTCATTCCTCAGAACACAGCCTTTGTTGTGTGCTCCCAGGGGCTGGGCCAGCAAAGCACTTAGGCAGGTGCTTGACTTTAAGCCTGTGCTTGCCCCATTGACTGGCTTAGTGGGACTACTTTGATGCATGGTGTATACTCTACCGTAGCATCTTCGTCAGGGCTGAGGACTCCCTGGTGCCAGGTGCTGTACAAACAGAACAGAAATGGCCCCTGCCCCAAAGAGCATACATGGGAGTACATCTGGTCTCTTACCCTTCCATCTCGGCCTGGATCCAAGGAGCAGTACTGGCCCACCTGGCATGCAGAGGCCTCTCTGCACCAGAGGCCTAACCCTTGTCGGTTTTTGTAGCCATTGAGGCAGAGGAGGGCGAGGTAGCTTTGTGGATATTTATGGAGAGCTCCTCCCAAGCGTGGGGGCAGCACGGGCGAAGGGGCTTTGCCCTGGGTCAGGGCTGGAAGGCCCAGCACACTGCGGGGGCTGATGCCTAGAAATGGAGCTAAAAGCTAAACAACTGGGACCCAGAAGTCAGGAGACTAGTTTGAAGAGACTTGGGATTGCTCATGTCCAAGGGTAGCTGGTTGTGGGTGCCCTCCCTGCAAATCGCCTGGTGAGTAGTGTTGGGAAGGAGGCTGCAGGGAGCAGAGCCTGGGCGGCTGTAGCTGCATCTTTCTATCTTCATCATGCTAAAGGCCACACAGCTGTTACAATGGCTGCAGATCCCTGCATGCAGCTTGGGGCAGACCGTGAATGCCCCACGCCCACGAGGTCCCTCCAGCTGAGACCACTTCCTCAGCCAGGATCCTTCACATTCCATTTTCCTGACCCCCAGAAAAAGCCCAACCAGTTTCTCCATGGCAGAGACTGGGCATCACTTCCCCCAGTGACCAGACCTCAGTCTTTGCATGTCCGTTTCCGTCTCTCCTCTGGCTAGGTCAGTGTTGCACTGTAAACCCGGGTCTCTGGCTTGTGGCCGTGAAGTTCCCAAGCCTGCACTTGGGCATCCGCACTGCATTGTAAACCCGGGCTTGCGATTGTTGGACCGGGGTCTCCCAGCCGTGCTTATGCTGCACTATGCAGCCCTTCTGACTTGGGTCTGGGGCTTGAGCGCCATTCACACTGCAGTACGACAGGGCTTGGCCCAGGGTCACAGTGACTCTGGCTCTGACCCTCTCCCCAGCTAGGACTCTGGTCCTGAGCGCTTGCTAACCTGAGTCAGACGGTTTTGTGAGTGGATGGAAGAGGGGCTTGGGCTCAAATCCGAGTCGGTCTGGGCTGAGTGGGCAGTGTAGATGTACCCTGTGTGCCAGGGCAGGCTGGCTCTGTGGACCTTAGTACTGTAAGAAAAGGAAACTCTGGTAAGAGCAGATCAATTTCCGTGTGCTGCAGCATGCCGGGGCCTCGGCTGTGTTACAGGGACTCTGGCAGCAGCGTGCCCAGGGTGGGAAGCATGTTCTTCCTTCAACTCCAATGATGAATTTGGGATGTTCGTAGTGGAGTTGGGTGTGTAAAAGGATATGAAGGCAGCAAGTGCAAGCCCTCAAAATTCACCAAACACTTCATTGGCACTGATTAAAATGCCCAAACGGCTCCCATTTGGCAGAAGTCTCCTCCGCTGCAGTGCCAGGGAAGCTGGAGGGGACACTAAATACGGGCATCACAGTGCGGAACGGAGAGGGTAGCTCTGCACCCCACACTGGAGACACGCTCCAGGAAATCCCATGGTGAACGGTCTGGGCCCTTCTGTGCTAACCTGAAAAAAATAGGAAGGCAGGACTTGAAAAAACTACATGGCTGGCCCAAGGAGTAAACCAGCGGTTCTCAAACGTTTGTCCTGGTGACCCCTTTCACACAGCAAGCCTCTGAGTGCGACCCCCCCCCCCCCCCCCCCCCCCAAA